TAAATATAATATATCTATAGCGCAAATTGAAAACTAAATTTTTGAGAGTAAAGATAATAATAATTAACATTACGTTAAATCGTTTGGTCAAAATATTGCAGATTTGATAATAGTCAGCCAGGTTAGTGCATTTATAACTGTAGTTGCTGTATCAGAATGATAAGGAAATAACAAATAATTCAAATTAGTTCCCTCGTTTTCAAAACAAAAATTGTTTTAAATTACAATAAAGAAAAAGGCTCTGCCATCTTTAAGCTTTCAACACATTTGCAGTTATCAAATCGAGATCTCGCAATTAATCATTGGAAGAACAAATATTTCTATAAAAGTGTCAAAATGAATGCAAGGCAGAACAGTTTTCAGATTTATAAATTTTCTCATTACATTGAAGGTATAGATTTTATTCCGATTTAGTCACTTTATTATTGCCTGGTTTAAAGGAAGGTTGATATGCATTGTCAAGACTATGGTAATTGTTTCCCACAAAATGGGAATTTGCTGTTATGCATTCTAATCTGAGTCATTTATTCCATGTACAGTTTTAAAAATAAAATAGAATTGTTAAATGTTTTTGCTGTAAGATTTTAGATCTGACATTATTGTATCATTTGAAGTCCCATTTAGAATTTGTACTTTTACAAAGAAATTTGGAAAAAATTTAGTTTGGTTTTTACCTGAAAAAAATGACACTCACTCACTCAGAAAATAATCCATGGTGCCTTAATAATCAAAATAATATGAATCAATGAATAAGACTAAATTTACCTTCAAAAGGTAGAATCCTCTTCATTCTAACTTATGAATAAAAGGAGATGTAAAGAATAAGTCAGTAGATTAGGAACCAAACTATACCATAAAATAGAAAAAGACATCTAGAGGTTAATATATAGTATTCTATAATAGATACTGGAATAAGTGTCCATAAATATGTTAACCCAGAAATGTCCAATTTTCATCTTCGCCAAATACTAAATATTTTAACTGTTGTTCTTTTAGATTGCTGTATAACATGCAATTAACTGTACAATGTAATTACATATTTATCATGATTTGGTGATAAAAAGGTTACTTGGTGCAAAGAGTAGTTTAGTATTTTTTTTCATGTCTGCATGCCATGATTTCACATTCATGAAGTTCAGAATAATATTATTTGTTAAGGGTAAGAAAATCACTCAGCAAGTTGCTGATGAAATATTTATAAGTACTGATTTTTTTCTGTGGCTGATTTCTAGATATGCTGGCTCGTATCGTAAGAAAAATAAGTATACTTTAGAGAATTGGTTTTTATTTGTTGAAGTTACATTGTAAAAAATAGATGTCAGTTTATCTTAAAACATTCCAAAATAGATGTTGTGTGGAAAATTGCATGTTTTTTGTCTATTAGACATTACACAGAGTTTGTGAAGTTTATTTACTGGAGAAAACAAATTTAGCACACAAGGGCAATTCAATTGTCTGCGCTAGTTAAAGTATGCAGAAGAATTAGCGGTTAGGGAAAACATGCAGGTCTTTATAGATATAATACAATTCTTGGCATCAAATGGAGTATTAATGATATTCTAATTTGCTGTGTGCACCTTAAAAAGGAAAAATTGTAGGTTTTTTGTCAAATTTGATTGTTTGATAAAGTAGCTGAAATAATAGAAAACGTTTGTTGAACATGATTGAACGATGAGTGTGTGAGAGATGTGTGGGTTTGGAAGTAGGTTGGAATATTCTGTGGAACGATGAGTGTGTGAGAGATGTGTGGGTTTGGAAGTAGGTTGGAATATTCTGTGGAACGATGAGTGTGTGAGAGATGTGTGGGTTTGGAAGTAGGTTGGAATATTCTGTGGAACGATGAGTGTGTGAGAGATGTGTGGGTTTGGAAGTAGGTTGGAATATTCTGTGGAAAATGTTCTGTTTACTTAAAGAGATGTTTATTTGTGCTCACTGTGGTTTTAGAAAGCAGATTATCAAAAACTTGGTTAACATATATCAATACAGATTACTTTAACTAAATTCTCAATCACCAGCTGATGCTGTATGACTAATTTAGATGCTAAACCTTTGGATGCATGTATAATTCCTTTTTTAGAATTATGGTGCATCAATCTAATTGTATTTCTGGATTTATCTACATCAGGAATTCTCAAATCTTTATTCTTAGAAAACGCTACATCATATTTTAATATTAGAAATGCATGTCTATATACTATTTTCTTTGTATATACAATAACATGTTTGATTAGCTTTGATCTACCACTCAGGAAATTTGGCAGTAAGAGGTTATTTAGTGTTATTTTATGGGCTCTGCACAGTTAATATTGGATTAAATAAATAAAACATTTGCTGTTGTTTCTCCTAAGAGGATGACTTCATTAGCAATAAAATAGCAATTGTGGAAACTTTTATTTACCCATTAATCTAATCCATAGAGCCAAGCCATATTCGCGTTAATTTGTTTCTAAGAAATCAATAGTCTTCCTTTTAAAGACAACTGATTTCTACAATTAAGATAATTTTGAACAGTTAATGATATTGTTATGCAATATACTATTAATAATAAAACTTGTAAATGCAATTTGAAAATACATATCTGAATTACATCTAGAAACACATTATAGTCTTTGACCAAAGAACCATTTGATTAAATTGGAAATTCAGTCTTTATTTCTAAAAAAAAAAGGCTGCAATTATTTGGTGGTGGAGGGTGGAATGGCATAAATAGTACACCAATGATAAATTATTTGTTGTATGACTTGTTTTTGTGTAAAAATACTGGACATCCGTCCATCTGTTCATTCTTGTAATAGCTCTCACCAGTACATTTCCAATAATATTTTTATGAAATTTATAAGGGCATTGTCTGGGATGAGTTTAAAATTCACCGCTGATCAATTAGTTTTACCAGAGTTAATTTTCCTTTTTTTTTGGATGGTGATGTTCCTTTGGCACCATCTTACAGTGTCTATATATCACAACTCTTTCGCTTTGCCTGACTGTCTGTTGTAACGTTTTGGATTTCAATGAACTGAATCTATGTATTATTGGTAAATTATTAAGTCAGGGATTTCGTTACCATAAATTACTTAAAACCTTTACTAAATTCTTCAATAGATATAAAAGATTTGGTTTGGAAGTTTGGTTGTATACCTGTAGAAAACTTATTTCAAACGGGATAGCACATCCTAGTTTTTACAGAGATGTTTTTTTACCTTGCCCAGAAATTTAGATACGCTCCAGGTAAACTTATCAATCCTTTAAACTTATTCTAAAAGGTTACCAATTCAACACTATAATGAGATCTTTAATTATTGTTTTTATTGGTATTAACATTGATTTTGATCAGTAAATTAAAATCAAACTAAATATTTTTTTTATATACATATGTACATTCATGGCTCTACAATCGGTCAATACCTGTATCGTTGCATTGCACAAGGTCATGTTTTTCTCTGACTGTTAATGACATCTTTACACTAAATCCATTGGATGTTGGGTGTGTACTGATTTATATTTTAGTCTTAGATGCATGATTTTTTTTATTAGTTGTTATTGGCTTTGAACTAGCTGTATGCTTGCACTAATAACTGTGAGTACTCTCAGATCTGTACTTAGTGTGTCTTTTTGTTCTGGAGATATATACCCTGCCATGTCCACTCTGTGTTTTTGTTAGATGTATTTCTGCTTGGTATCCATCTAATGAATTAAGCCCTTTTTAACTGATTTTTATAGTTTGTTCTTATGTTGTACTGTTACACCACTGTCCCAGGTTAGGGTGCCTTCAAACTAGTTTAACCCTGCCACATTCTGTATGTGTCTGTCCTAAGTCAGCAGCCTGTAATTCAGTGGTATTGGTTTGTTGCTTTATATCATATTTGTTTTTCGTTCATTATTTTTTACAAATATTAGGGCGTTAGTTTTCTGGTTTGAATTGTTTTACAATTTTCATTTCGGGGCCTGTTTTAGTTGACTGTGGTATGGGTTTTACTCATTGTTGAAGGCCTATATTTGTTAATTTCTGTGTCGTTTGGTCTCTTGTGGAAAGTTGTCTCATTGGCAATCATACCATATCTTCTTATTTTTATATTATGTCCCTTTAAAATGAAAATTTTATAGAAAATTGCATTGTAAGTGCTCTCAAGTGTACAGAACTTATTACAATCAACCAATGAGCTAGTCACTTGTTAAAGCAAGATCAGGATGACCCCAACAATAATTTATGATATGTATTGATAAAGCTATTTATGTATTTGAAGAAACATTAGGATCTGTAAATTGCTTTTTAATGTGTTGAAAACTTTTAACAAGCTAATTCTGATCATTTTTTTTTTCGCCTCCATTTCACATTTTGAAAACTTTTTTTCACATGAGCTTGAAAGTGCTCATGTTGAAGGACAAGCATACAAAATAAGAACAGAAGTGAAAAAAATGACCAGAATAAGTATGGTTTACAACTTATCATGTTTTCTGCTTATTGATATGTATAGGCTATCAGGTTTTCTACACATTGATATTGTAAAATATCAGCCGCGTGCCACAATGTGAACCATTTTGGCAAGTGAAAGCAGGGAACGAGCAAAAAAGCTTTGCATTGTGTTGAACAAATGATATTTTACGATATCTTTATGTAGAAAACCTGATAATCTGTTTAGTGTTCTGTATTACAGGTCTTTTCCCCCTCCCTTATACAGATTTTTATAATGCTTAACAAGGGCAAGCTTGATAATATCTCCTCACAAATTGTGACATTGCTGTAAAATTCTCTTCAAATAATACCTTTCACATCTTTCTGATACTTTATGATATAAATGTCAAGTAGAATTGGTCATACACATATATATGCATATCATTCTTTTCATACATGCATAATTTGGAGTAATTGTCTATTTTGTATTCATGCTTCATGTAAGGTATGGTGAGAATTCCGGATTTAGAAATATGAAGTTTAAAATTGGAAATAATGAAAATTGCTCTTGATTAGTAACAATATTGATAATTTTTTTTTCTATTTTCAGATGCCACCATTGTGGTACTTTGGATTAATACAATTAGCTCATGTGATTACAGTTAATTATGCCACAATTAATCCAGGTAAGTACTATTGGAGGAACCTCTGAATCTGAAATTAACAAGATTGAAATATTTTACTGAATTAATGTTTTTAATTGATTTTTATTTGCTCACTGTACAAAAAGAATGATTGTGAACAGTTGCAAACACATGATATATGTCATTGTCCTTTTTCTGTTTTTCATTACCGGTAGTCCTTTTTAAGTTAAACATCTTCTCTCAAACTTCTTCAACAACAAATGCTTAGGTTAAGCGATCCTTGTTTTTCTTACCTTTTTTTTTTTTTTTTAGCTCATCTTGTCTAAAAGACCATATGAGCTTTTTCTATCACTTAGTGATCATTGTCCTCGTCCAATTGTCTATACATACAAACTTTATTTAATTTTTTACTTGAAACTCCTTGGCAGAATGTTACCAAACTTTACTTTGTCTTTTGGTCTTTTTCTTTTTTTACCATGGCGTTGTCAGTTTATTTTCGACTTATGAGCTGAATGTCCCATTGGTATCTTTTGCCTCTCTTTTACTAGAATGTTTCTTAAGAGAATCTAGTTTAGAAACTGTTTCTGGGGATTTGATCCATCAACAAACAAAATTGTCAACTGACTTCTTATAGGAGTTATTTTCTCTGAATGGTGATTTTTACCTTTTTTTGCATTTTTGACAAAAACTTTATTAGATAAAGAGAAACTTCAAAATGAAAAAAAAGGTCATCAAAGTCAACATGGCCTAACTGTCAGACTCTTTATAGGATTAATTGCCCATTAATGACGATTATGTACTAATTTTTATAACTTTGCCAATTTTCTCAAAAATTTTGTTGCAAGGGAAATAAACCTTTCCCCAGAATCGGTTGGTGTTTATCAGGCTATTTAAATTTTTGCAAGATGAACTGTCAATTGAATTAATACAATAGCTATTATTCTCTGTGGAGCTCATTTAATGGGAACCCGGAACTTTAAATTTCTCCTTTTAAAACTGATCATTCATTGATAAATTTGGCTGTACAAAAAAATACTCCTTGTGATAAAAATACATGTACCAATACTGGATAATGGCATACTTTGTCAGAGCATTAGATAATAATTACAAATCTATGTCAATAGAAGACTACTGAGGTACAAATTTTATGAGAAGAAGCTGTAGACAATTTTGTTTATGATGGTGCATTATTTTTGCAAAAAAATTACATCAATTTATTTTGTTTTTATAATGATGAAACTTAAGGCTGGTATAGCAGTGCAATCAACGTTTCCCTAATGCAATCTGGTCACCAACTGAACAAACTATTATTACAGTAGAAATAAATTAGTTGATATTGAATAAATACAACATCACATGCAGTTTTGTATGTCATTATTGAGAATGGGATAGTGATTTTCATAATATGATAATTGCAGCATGGCACCATGCATTTGCCAGAAACAAGAAACTAGACTTTGCTATATTATTACAAAGTAATAGATCTGTATCAGAGAAAGGTCGTTGATGGTTTAAAGCATATATCACTAAAACCAGTTCTTGCTTTCTTCATATACACCAATGAATCTTTCAAACCAGCTGTTATTTCTAGTGGTGATTGTTCTGTTGTTCTCATGCAGACATTATTGCCCCAAGATGGAATCAAAGAGAGTCATTTTATAGTTCACTTAAAAACTAATTGTAGGTTCTGTTGAGCTGCGATTTCTGTTGCAGAAAGTGAGACATAGGGATAGTGATCAGGCAGCGACAGCTGTGGTGTTAACTAAACTACTTAAAAGCTTTTTATTTCAGAAGGTAGAAGACCTGGATGGTTCATACTTTGTATATAAATGCCTTATGTTATGAAGTTTCTGTCTATCATATGTCCATTGTCCTTGACCTCATTTTCATGGTTCAGTGATTACTTGAAAAAAAAGTTAAGATATTTTGTAATCTTTATTTATCTCTTATTATGAGCAATAGGATAACTATAAATTTGTATGTGCATACCTTGCAAGGTCCTCATGCCTGTCAGTTTGTTTTCACTTGACCTCGATCTCATTTCATGGATCGGTGAACAAGGTTAAGTTTCGTGGTCAAGTCCATATCTCAGATACTATAAGCAAAAGGTCTACCATATTGTAGAATATTGTGTATGGAATCATAATGTAAGGTGTATATTTCTGTCTGGCAGTTATCATCAAACCTTGACCTCATTTTCATGGTTCATTGGTCAGTGTTAAATTTTCCTGGTTAAGGTTGTTTCTTATATACTTTATGCAATAGGTCAACTATATTTAAAGCATGGAATGATTGTAAGGTGTACATGTCTGTCTGGCGGGGTTTATCTGACCTTGGCATCATTTTCATGGTTGATTGGTCATTATAAAGGTTTCATGGTTCGGTCTAATTTTTGTATACTATATAAGAAATAGGTCAATTATATTTGGTGTATGGTATGATTGTAAGGTGTACATGTATTTCTGGCTTGGTTTATCTGACCTTATATACAAGTTTATGTGAACATACTTGAAGTAAACTTTATATTTAGGACTATCAGCGTAAAATCATTGGTTTAAGTAAAGCAGGCGAGACATTTCAGCATGTGCACTCTTGTTTTGTTTAAGTTTTCTTTTTCTTTTTAAAGAATATAAGATGCATTTATTTATTGGAACAAGAACAAAGGTTTTATACCCGAATCAATGGGAGCGGATATGTTGGTTTACCTCTATCAGTAACACATTTATATTGCATTTTCCCTAGCAACCACAAGTTGTTATAGCTTTTTGAAATATGGTAAAAAGCTTCATCAGGTTATACCGTGAAATAAGTTTTCAGTTCCTTCCATGTTTTCTTTCCTGTTTGCTGAAATCTTATATTTTAATAATGTCATTCACATTATGAATTCCCCCACATATTTCTCTGCAACTTAAATATATATGGTGCAAGACTTCATTTTGTTGTGCCATATACCATTTATATGTAACATTTTTTCTGTTCCTTCAAATTTGTCTTTCTTGTTTGACAACAACATTGAGCTTGACAAATGCAGTTGTGTGAGCCTGTATTTGTTTTTAAGTTTTCTTGCTGATGAAGATAATAAATTTCAATTTTCAGGTTGTTGTTAAACTGGGATTGCTTCATAATATTTGTACATTTATAATTCATATGGCCACATTATTCATAATTGGATAGATTTATCATTAAATTAAGCCATCTTATTTTTATAAATTTTGGATTACTGACTTAAAAGAAATTTTCTTAAAAGGAATGATAAAATGTATTGGTAAAAAAGTTGGATATTTTTACTTAATTAAATTGTTTAACTGAAGGCAATTTGATGAGTTTGAAATTGAGATTCAATACTATATTGACATATTGAGTTGTCAACTGTAACATTTATATGGCATGTTGTCTGAATGTTCAATACTTTCAAATCAATTCTTTAATATTCCATGAAATTCTCAACTTAAAAGTATAGTTGTGATGTATTTTAACAGTTCATTTAGAACATATTTATTTGATGGGTATAATTTAAATTTCCAAGATGTGATGATTGATGTTGAACTTTGAATTGATGCTTTTTTAAACATTTTTTGGGACTTTAAAAACAAGGACTGAATACCTTGGGGATACCATTGCACAATTTGATTATTTCGATAACTAATTAATTGCTTATTAGCATGTAATGTTTTGGAAGAACATAAATTGTTCTTTGAAGAGACAACAATAATTTTCTATAAATAAATATTATCTCATGACAGGTTTTTTTCCAGTTTTCAGCTACAAAATAGTTTTGGAAGAGAAACTTTTAATGTTTTTTTTTTTTATTTCAGAATTATTTTAAGGCTTTAAAAAATATTCAGCTACATGCCATATAAAGCTCACTACCATAATATGAAATGCTTTCTTATGATATTATATAGTAATATGCAAGTTATGGGATTACAATTTATCTATGTAAAATATCCCTTTTACACAATTTATTTGTATGGTCTTCTCTTACTTTGATTAAGTCCCTTGGATTAATTGTCAAATTTGACATTTTTTTACAAATAATATATATTCATGTTAATCTATTTGTTTCACAACAGACAAGGATAACTGCATTAATTACGAGAGTGACTACCATGTCGATAGAGGTAACAATATTCAAGTGATTAACAGGTGTTTTACTTTACACTAACAGTGTTAACAGCTTATTAACAGTTCATTTAATATTACTTTCAATAACTGTGTGGTAGTGGTATTAACAGCAAAAGTTAATATAGATTAAAAGACAATCTTATTATAATTATTTAGTGTTAACAGCAAAAGTGAATATAGAAATAACAGATAATATAGCATTGTTATTTAGTGTTAACAACAAAAGTTAATATAGAATTAACTGATATTATAGTACTGTTATTTAGTGTTAACAATTTGATTACAGATTATGTAAAAGTAAGGGTTAGGAGGTTTATTATAAAGCGATGCATTAAGGCCAATTTTAACTTAGATTTTAAGTATTCACAAATTATCATACCAAACTTGTATTAAATCAATTGATAGGTACATTCAAAATCTGTTAAATATTAAGAATATTCAACAAGATATTAATGATAATATGGCATATTATATAATATTTCATGGTAATATAACAAAAATTGTATTGTTTTGATATTCATCTGTGAGTGGGAACTATATTTCCAAGTATAAAAAATCTTTGAAAATCTAAAATCAAAAGTACAATTTTGGCGAATAAATTGACAAAACGGAATTCTTAATGTTTGATGATATATTTATGATGTTTGAAGTAAGTTATATCATAGATGGGTATTACATCTATGGTTAATACATGTATATCAATAATGTGCTGCTTTATATCATTGTTACATAAGATGTTTACTCAAATAATTCCTAAGGCAATCACAAAAGTAATTATAGGTTTGATTTACAAACTAAACTTTAGTTTATAGCCCACAAGTAATTTAAGAAAGTTAATTTCTGTAACAAATGCTTTATTTCAAACTGTCTTACAATCATCTTGTTCTCTAACAAATAATTTCTATTGTCTTAAAATTAATGGTTTGAAATTTGACTGGATGTTTGACAATGTAATCGATATCGTTTCCCCAGTATATTAATGGATTAACCGAAAACTGTCTTCCACAATATAAAATGGATTTACAGATTTATTTTGTATTAAAGATGATGTTTTTTATTATTATTTTATTCAGTTTCAAGCAAAATTGGGCTTGAGGGTTTTAAACTTTGACATTTATATGTGTCATTGCTTGATTTTTTGTAAGAAAAAATATAGTTTAAGTTGGAAAAACATCTTTTTGTGAGAGGCAAGAAGAAAAGTTCATCATGAAAATATATTTCATACAATTTTTTATTTTTTTATTTTAGCATGTGAGTGTATAGTGTACCAAAGCCTAGGTGGTACAGAAGGAAGATTTAACTCCCCTAATTTCCCACAATTCTACAGTAGAGGAATAGAATGTATCCTGTTTACATTTATTGGCGATGTTGGAGAATTAGTGGAAATAAAATTTACTGATTTTGAGATGATGTACCCTGATGTAAATAAAACGTATGTTTATGTTACTATAGTTACACCAAACACATACAGTATAAAAAATGTGAATAATTGGATTTAATATCCAACATACAAATCATATCCTTTTGTCTATGAAGATCTTGATGAATGCACAGTTATCATATCGTTACTTTATCAAATAAACATATTATACTGAGTTCATTGGGCATAAAAAAAGTCTAATAGAACAACCTATGTATGTAACTGTTTTAGATAATTTTTTCACAGTCATTCACATTCAAGACTATGCAAGCAGTCACACTAATGCACACTGAAAAGAAATTTGGTAACACTCTGTTACATAAAAAAATGCAACAGTCATTAAATAGCTTTACTGAACTAGTAAACATTATTGTTTAGGGGTCAGATGAAGCCTGACTCCAGGTGCAGGATTTTCTCGCTGCGCTGAAGACCCATTGGTGGCCTTGGGCTGGTCTTTGCTCTAAATTGGTTGGGTTGTTAAATGTCTTTTTGACATATTCTCCATTTCTATTCTCTATTCTATTAGCATTATTGAAAGCTGTGTATTGATCTTTGAAAATATTTGTGTTGATTGTGTGCTGTCTCATTGAAGTTTATCACATATCTTCTTTTTGTCCATCCGTACGGCAGGTCTTGTTAGCGCTCTCACATGTATAATTCTTACCAGATTTTTATAAAACTGATATCATAGATTTATATCAGCAATGTTTCTGATGAATTTGAAAATCAGTGCCGATCAACTATTTTTGAAAGAGTTATGCCCCTTGGAAACATTCATTATATGGAAAATTGCATCGTTAGCCCTCTCATGTGTACAATTCTTGCCAGATTTTTATGAAACTTATATTGTAGGTTTATATCAGCAATGTCCCTGACGAGTTTGAAAATCAGTGACAATCAACGATTTTTGAAAGAGTTATGCCCCTTTGAAACATTAATTATATGGAAAACTGCATCGTTTGCTCTCTCATGTGTACAACTCTGTCCAGATTTTTATAAAACTTCTATTGTAGGTTTATATCAGCAATGTCTTGGTCGAGTTAGAAAATCAGTGTGGATCAACTTGTTTAAAAGAGTTATATCCCTTTGAAACATTCATTATATGGAAAATTGTATTGTTAGCACTCTCGTGTGTACAATTCATGCCAGATTTTTATGAAACTTATATTGTAGGTTTATATCAGCAATGTCTCGGACTATTTTGATAATCAGTGCCGATCAGCTATTTTAAAAAGAGTTATGCCCCTTAGGAATATAAATTATAGGAAAATTTGCATTGTTATTGGTCTCGTGTACAATTATTGGTTAGATTTTTATCAAATTCATATCAAAGGTTATATAAAAGCAATGTCTCGGACGATTTCGAAAAAAAGTGCAGATCAAATATTTTAATGAGGTTCCCTTGGAAAAATTAAGTACATCGGAAATTGCTCTCAAGTCTTCAACTCTCTAGTAAAATAACTTAACAAAAGTTTTTTAATATTTTTTTTTTAAGTTATTTCCCTTGGACAGAATAGAAAAAATATGTGCAATGCAGGGGACATTGGAACTCTGTTCTTTTATTACATAAGATCATTATTCGTGAATTCCAATTAAAATGCAGAAAAACCGATTACATTATGTCCAAATCTTATATTTATTAATAAAAAGCATTATATAAATGGAAAACAGTTGTCTTTTAACATTAATGCTGGTTGTATTTTGTAGGATTAAGTTTTAGTGAATTGGAGTTATCTCCCTTTGAATGTACGTTTTCCATTCATGAAAATGTCAACGGTGTAAATGAAAATTATAAACTCTACAAGGATAATTTTATCAATTGATCTAGTAATTAAGGATTATATAAATTCATGATTACTGTAATTAATGAGCTGCCCAATATTTCCCCCAAGCAAAAATTGTGCGTTACTTCCTGTTCTTTTTGTCCAAAGTATTAAGTTTTGCTTTTACATGTTGAAGTGAAAAGCATCACTTGTTATAAACAGTGAATACTCCACTATATTATGGTGAGGTATACACAATTTTGCAGAATATCAGATTTTTAAAAGCTTGTTTTGATATGCTTTAGATCTCATTTAAATGGATCTGAATATAAAAAAAAAGATAAATGTTGGATTTTAATATACTTCAAGAGATACAATCAATTAAAAATAGTTAAATAGATTTATAAATGTAAAGAATGCATGTTAGAAGCGCTGTTAAAATTCATTTTTTTTCTAATTTTGTTATTTTCACTTTATTTTATCAATATAAAAAAAACTTGAGAAAAAAGATACAGCATGTTCCTGAGTCGAAGCCAGGAACCTCATCAATGGTCATTTTATATGTCATGCAAATACATTAGGTCATTTGGGGGGTTCAGCGATGGTTGCAGATCTTTTATAGTTTCTTATTAATTTACTCATTGAATTTTTTATGCCCCACCTAGGGCCATTATGTTTTTCAGTCTGTGCGTCCGTTCGTCCGTCCGTCTGTCCGTCTGTCCCATGTCAGGTTAAAGTTTTTGGTCAAGGTACTTTTTGATGAAGTTGAAATCCAATCAACTTGAAACTTAGTACACATGTTTCCTATTATATGATCTTTCTAATCTTAATGCCAAAAATTTTGACCCCAATTTCACGGTCCACTGAACGTAGAAAATGATAGTGCGAGTGGGGCATCAGTGTACTATGGACACATTCTTGTTTACTTTAGGTGATTGATAGCTGGACATTTTGTTTAGACACCTGTTTATTTTTGAAGACTAGATGTCGTTTGGATTTTTTGTTGTTGGGTTGCTGGGTTGCTGTCTCGTTTTCATATAATGTATATTTCCTTTTTATTCACACATGATAAACCAATAAAACACTGCCATCTTTTAATAGTCATCATGAACTAGAAGCTATGTTCTCAGTTTTGTTTTATGGTCATGTGATAGTTTTAAAGGTTGTAAATTATTTATGTGGAATTTCTTTAAATCTTTGTTTCTGAAAATCAGATTGATTGATTCATCTTGCTGTAATACGAGGAACATTTCATGACAATGATTCACAGATTTAGTCCCAGAAAATTCTTTGTGAAAAAGATAGGACATAAAACTCTGTGGAAGTGAAATAAAAGGAATCATTGCTCACATAAAATAAGATCAGACCAATTTTATGGACGATCAATTTGGTCATGTAAAACGGTCATAACATAGCTAATTAATTTCCCGTCATTCTAAGATGGAGGAAATATGAGCTGAGTTTCAGATTTGAAATGATAATAAAGGGATTTGTAGCTCTTTTTAAAACAGTGTGTGTAAAATAACTAGTTTTTGATGTTTTTCTAATAATTGTTTTTATGTTAGCAATACAATTCTATAGTAAATTTCTGAATTGAGATATTTCTAGATGGCTTTTCTTATGCATTTTTATGTTAACTGTTATAGGTGAACATAAAAATCTATAATAAAGTGCACTTTATACATTTTCTTTTGAAAAAAAATATTGTATAATTTGTCATAATGGGGATGATAAATCTGATGTCCTTATGGGATGAGTGCCACTCTCTCTGCTCGTTTAAGAACCATTGCAGCAACTTTGTGAGGGGTTTGTGGGAAAACAGTCAGAATTGTCTGAGGTTTCCTGGTTTATTTGGTCATAATTTTTGGTCTTTGGTTGTTTTTGTTTTCCCATCATGTGAACACCCTTAATATTTTTTTTACAATTCAATTTGCTTGATTTGTGTAGCAAATTTCAAGACAAAAAAATAATACTATTGGTTTCATCAACAAAAACTGAAAATGCTTATTAACAAAAAGTAAACAAATAGATAAGTGAATACATAACAAGTCTGCTTCTATTGGTATCAACTTCTTTATATTATGTCTAAAAATGACCCCACAATATTTTTTTGAAAAAATATGTTTTTTTGTGAAATGTATAGTGAAAAATCTTGATATGTCCATGCACTATTGCTGTATTTCTGTCTTCAGTGTATAGGGTCTTGCACCTCCATTTTTAGCTCACCAGGGCCCAAAGGGCCCCATGTGAGCTTATGCCATCACTTGGCATCCGTCGTCGTCGTCTGTCATCGTAAACTATTTAAAAAATCTTCTCCTCTGAAACTACTGGGCCAAATACCTTCAAACTTTAACTAAATGTTCCTTAGGGTATCTAGTTAATAAATTGTATCCGAAGTTTTGATCCATTGACAAACATGGCCGCCATGGCTAAAAATAGAACATAGGGGTCAAATGCAGTTTTTGGCTTATATCTCAAACACTAAAGCTTTTAGAGCAAATCTGACATGGGGTGAAATTGTTCAATTGGTCTAGATTTATCGGCCCTGAAATTATCAGACGAATCGAACAACCCATTGTTGGGTTGCTGCCACCGAATTGGTAGTTTTAACAAAATTTTGCAGTTTTTTGTTATTATTTTGAATATTACTATAGATATATGTAAACTGTAAGCAGCAATAATGTTCAGCAAAGTAAGATCTACAAAAAAGTTCATATGACCAAAATTGTCAATTGACTCCTTAAGGAGTTATTGCCCTATAAATACAATTTTACACAATTTGTTCATCAAGTTTGCTAACATTTAAAAATCTTCTCCTCTGAAATACAGGTGAGCGATTCAGGCTCTTGAGAGACTCTTGTTACCTGCATCATCAAAGGCGAAAGCAGGTCTAGTAAGCACTTGACTCTATTCATTGGAAAGAAAACTTTCATCAAAGTTTTCTTTGCTTCTATGAAAGTGAATGATTTAATATTTGGTCTGCAGCTTTATAATGTTGAATTGTAGCTAGAAAGCAATTTTTATAGTTGCCATGTCTCCACTTCCTGTTTGCCGATTGTTTGAAATTGTACAACATTCATTGTACAAGGAAAATTTTCTGTCAAAGTTTTCTTGGCTTCTATCAAAGAGTATGCTTAAATATTTGGTCTGCAGCTTGATAATGAAGAGTTGTAACAAGTTAGCAATTTTTACATCTGCCGTTTAGATACTTCCTGTTTGCTGACAGTTTGAAATTTTACAACACTCAGTGTACAGGGAAATTTTTGTCAAAAGTTTTCTTGGCATCATTGAAAGGGAATGATCAGTAATTTACGCTCCAGTATAAATGTAACCTCAATCAATTGCATGCAGCGAAGCAGGTCCAGACCAGGTAATTGTTCTTGTTTTCCTGGTGATTTTGGACCTTTTCAGGCATTTTGTTATCTTCTAAAATTCCCTGGTATCTTTTTTCAAGGATGATTAACATGCCTTTTTAACAAGAACCAGATGTGGATCCAGGATTTTAAAAAAGAGGGGCCAACCAACAAGGCAACGTAAGGAGTGCAACTTGTAAAAAGTCTTTGCATTTACCATATAGTGTATGTAGCTCCATAAGGGAGATTTCCTTCCCCCTTAATCCACCTCTGTGAACATATATACTGCCATCACTTCTATATAACATCTATCTAAAAACAAGACCTATAGGATAGTTATTTTGTATACAAAAATGTTTTAATTTATCAACTGATTTATTAATATGTTTTGCAATTAGAGGATTTTAGTAATTCACTATAGCTTTAATATCCAAATACATGTACAAAAAAATGAAGCTAGAGGCCAAATGAAATTAGTTCAAAACTTGAGTTGACTCTTTTGTCATGTTTTATAGATGAAATTGTGGAAGGTTCAACATTAACAATTGCTTATATTGTATCTTATATCTTAATCCCCCTTTCATTTAAGTGATTTGCCCAGGGTTGTTAAGATTGTTTCAACTGACCTTGACCTCATTTTCTGGCTCCAGAAGTACAAAATATATCTTAGAGTTAAACAACCGTACCCTTTACATTTGTGAAAGACTGATTACCTCCATTTATACTCTTATGCTATTGTTGATGGAATTACTTTTGATAAATAAATAAATTGAAACTTCCCTCCTCATTAAATATGTTGAACAGTCCAAGCATCCTCACAAATGATAGTACCTTGACTAATTAAAAATTTGCAAAACAAAGACATCCCCGTGTAAATTAGTGCAACATTTGAACTGGTTTGTCCAAATAAGGAAACAGCTAGTACCACAGAAATGACAAAAGATTTAGATATATAAAAATTTGTATATTAACAAATGACAACAAGGGAAAAACTCACAGATGTCTCGGCCAGCCATGTAAAGATATTTTGGCTTTCTATTTCTGGTTGTAAATAGTTGTTTTTTTTACAAAGAAGAGTTATTATAAGAGATAAGCTTATGTTTTATCCATATGATTGAAATCTCCTGCAAACATTTTCACAATATATCTTCTGTCATGATAAGAATTTATTGTAACTAATACTGAATATTTTCATGGATTCTGAGTATTTTTGCAGTTTGATTTTTTGGTGAAAATAGTATCTGGTACCTTGGCTCTGTTATAAGCATTGACATATTGCATCCATTCACAATTCATTTCAGAGTCCTTAACCATGTTAAAGTGGTCTGCTCCCAATCAATGTCAGCATCTGTTGAAAGAAAAAAGGAGTGATTTTATGAAGAATACAACAAAAAAATGGCTTTTATATCAAAAACAAATATTTACATATAAAAAAGACTCCCTCCTGAATTTTACAATTGACATAATATTTCGTGTATTAATGTTTATGTATAACTGTACCTGAATTTATTCTTTGCTGTTCATTGAATCCTCATGTATATTTTTTCAGATGTAAAGATTATTTAAGACTTTTCCTGAAATTAAACCGTCCTGAAATAAATGAAAACATGCAACACAATTATGAATTATGTGGAAGTATGTCAACTTTACAACAAAAAACATTTTATTCCAAAGATAGGAGTTTAATCATGGAATTCCAGACAACACGACCTATTGGACAACAGCTCACTTTCTTTAAAGGATTTCGAGGATTCTTCAGATTTTTAGATGCAAGTAGGTTATTTTCAGGCCTTGATGTAAAAAACATACATAATATTTGGATTTGTAAGGGTGACTAAAAAATTATGAAATTATTCGATTTATTTATATACTGTAAAAGCAGAAATTTTCGTGGAGGATTTAATTTCGTTTATTTCGTGGACAGAATATATCCACGAAATTAAAACCCCCACGAAAATTTCACCTACATATAATATCACTTCCATTTAATGGAAACCACGAAATTAAATCCCCATGAAATTTTATATAGAGACAAAACCACGAAATTTTAACCCCACGAAAATTAATGTTTCTACAGTATTCATCACAATTTTGTCATTTTTTTCACACTTGCTACAAAAGTCGCAGATTGTGAACCATAGAGATTAAAATACACCAGTGTCCGGGGCGTAAATTATTTGTATAAATCTTTATATTTCAGAGGGTAGAAGACCTAGATGCTTCATACTTAAATGTATACATATGCCTAATGTTTCAAAAAGTTTCAGTCTGACAGATGTCCATTGTCCTTGACCTCATTTTCATGGTTCAAAAACTGCTTAAAAAATGTATAGTTTTATAGTTTTGATAGGTAAACTATATTTGATATACGTGTTCCTTGCAACGTCTTCATGTCCATCAGACAGGGTTCATCTGACCTCAACCTCACATCATGTATCAGTGATCATGGTTAAAGTTATGTGATAAGGGTCCATTTCTCAAATGCTATAAGCAGTAGGTCAAATATATGTGGTGTAATTTAAGGTGAACATGTCAGTGTGGCAGGTTTCATATGACCTTGACCACATTTTCATGATTCATTGGTCAACGTTAAGTAGTTGTGTTTTGGTCTGTTTTTCAAATACTTTAAGCAATATGTCAACTATATTTGGTGTGTGGAATGATTGTAAGGTGAATATGTCTTTCTTGCAGGTTTCATCTGAACTTGATGGTTTAGTCACTTTCTTATATACTGTAAATTCAGAAATTATTGCGTGCATTTATTATTGCGATTTTTTCATTTTAGAATAAAATGCGATTTTAATTTTTGTGATATTGATAAAAATCCTGTTTAATTCATATAAAAAATTTCAAAATGCGAGTTTAAATTATTGCGATTATTATCCTGTCGCATTTTTCGCAATAATAAAAACATCGCAATAATTTCTGAATTTACAGTACTATATACAATAAGTTATCTTTATTTGGTACACAGAATGATTTTAAGGTGTACATGTCCGTCTGGCATGTATCATCTGACCTTTACTTCATTTTCATGGTTGATTGGTCAATGTTTGGTCTGTTTCTTTGATACTGTAAGCAAAGGGTCAACTATATTTGGTGTATGGAATGCTTGTAAGGTGAAAATGTCTGTCTTGCAGGGTTTATCTGACCTTACTGTCAAGGATCATTGATAAATTAAGTTTATGTGATGCTTGAAACAAAACCTTTGTCTTTGATACTTTTAGACATTAAATCAATCATCATCAGTAAAACAGGCAAGACATTTCAGTGTGTGCACTCTTGTCCATTGTACTTTAATAATTAAAACTACTCTGAAACTGGTTGTTGGAAATCTTTCATACTTGATAGGATATGTATGCCCACCTATGATAGTGTTTATGTTTTCTGGTCTGTGCATGACCCTTGGTTCGTCCGTCCGTCTTTCCTGCTTCAGGTTAAAGTTTTTGGTCAAGGTAGTTTTTGATGAAGTTGAAGTCCAATCAACTTGAAACTTAGTACACATGTGCCCTATGATATGATCTTTCTAATTTTAATGCCAAATTAGAGTTCTGACCCCAATTTCACGGTCCACTAAACATAGAAAATGATAGTGCAAGTGGGGCATCCGTGTACTATGGACACATTCCTGTTTTCATTGATATGTAGTTCACACTTCTATGCCGCCATTTTAAGTTGACTATTTTTAAGGGAGTTTTAGGATTTTTTGCCCATTGTATCATAGAAACCTTCTGAGATATTTTGCCCAACAGCTGTCATATATACTAGGGTTGTAAGTCATCATGTGTATAAATTGTCCATAATAAACCGCCATTTTGATATGATGATTTTGGCAGACTACTGATAAACACATGTGTAATTAAATGGGAATAAGTATTGTTAGACTAAAATGTGCTTTTGACTAGATTAAATGCACAAAGTACCTTGTTTGAGAATAAATCAAAATACCCTTTTCTTTTCTTTTTTTTTTAAACTTGACCCTTTTCCTTTCTTTTTTTAAACTTGACCCTTTTCTTTTCTTTTTTTTTTAACTTGACAACAGTAGAACCTGGCTTAAGGGTATTTTAAATGAAAGACTTAGCTCTTTTTCTGATAAATATTCATCTACATCAACATGATTTTGTTGATTTAAAAATTTCCAGTAATTAGTTTATGAGTCAGGAGGGTCTTTTTCACCTGTTTTAAAGGACCTCAATCAAAAGGGGTTTTAAAATTATTCCACAATATTTGCTCGTTATTATGATAGAACAATTGATATGAAACATTGCTTTTGATTATATTCATTTATCATATACTTATTACAAAAGCAGTAAATCATATGGTAATATCTCTTTTGGCTAAAAGGAAGTAAATAAAGATGACAGGCACCACCTAGTTTTTACATCCACATAATAGCTAGAAGTAAATTTATTTTCTGCTGCCCTGTGAATAAGAAAAGAAAATTGAAATAGTTAAGAAATGAATGTATTACCTATTGGTGTAGAAATAGCGAGGCATTTTGAAGAAACTTTTGGTGATGTTCAAACTTAGACAAGGGGGGTTCTCCATTCATACTACTTTGAAAATACCGAAATAATATAGTGCCCTTAAAAATTTGCAATTTTTCAATAAAAAAAGTTGTGGCACCATAGGTGTTTCGCAGATTTATTCACACCCAAAGGTGTTGAAAATTCAAAATTTGACAATTTTTTTAATGATTTTTTAAAGTGAAAGTGCAGAACCCCAATAGCTACCATTGTCAAGTATGCAAATAATTACTTCCTTACAGAATGACATGTTCTAAGGGAGATAATTCTAATTCTTTTTAAATTTTTGATAGTAAATTTCTTCCACGGCCTGAACAGGAACTACACAATTATTAATTTCATATTATTATTAATTGTACTCCGTTGATGAGTCACACTATAAAGAGAAAACAATAACATTTTGAATATGCTAGTTGGTATTTTTTCTAGGTAGGTTATTGCAGCTCATTAGTCCAGATGATGCTAATGTATTGTTTATTATGCTCCTATGTCTATTCCTACAGTGTAAAATATACATGAATGTTCTCCTCTTTTTTATTTGTTAAATGAAAATCCAGATGTCAATAGAATGTGTATTATTTTACATCCAGTAATTTTTTTTTGTAGCTGGTAAAATAATACCACCAGATGTTTATATACCCATCAAAGGCAAGAATGGTGCACATTTTACTTATTTCTCTAAAACTTTCCTTTGAAGCTAAAACTCTGACTAGAATCAGTTGTTAAATCTATGATATATTTTACATTTTTTTCACTAACAAAAATTTTTACTGAAGACAAATTTTTATTGAAGGATGCAATATATATTTATATCATTTTTTAAAGCAACACAAACATTATTTTTAAGCCAAAACGAATAAATCATGTTGCTTAGACATCTATCTGCAAGTCAATGTTTCACATAGTATTTCAAGTTTGACCTGACATTTGGCTCCACATTGGATAAACAACTTAAGTGACCTATAGTCTTTTTATGCCCCCGTCGCTAGGAAAGGGGACATTAAGTGTTACTCTTGACCTTACGTTCTTCCATCAACCCCATTATTGTTTCCCCATGCAAATTTTATGAAACTCATACACAATTCTAAGAACCAAAACTGGCAGACAGAGTAGGAATTTGGGCAGTGAATCACTTACTCTTCTAGAGTTATACCCCTTTATAACTTTGAAAATTGCACATTTTCTCATTTCCGCACTAGTAGTGACATCAAATGCTCTCAAAAAGTATTTTCACGTATTATGAGCAAGCTTGAGCTGGAGCATTTGTGTCCTTATTGTAAAATTTTTTCAAAGAAAATATGAGAATAATAAATTTTTATAGACATAATTCCTGGCTTATCAATTTTACATTATTATTCTGCTGGTTAAAGTTTTGTTACGGCAACATATTTTTTTGTGCGTGATCACTTATCTTTCTTTTCAATATGTTTATGTCTACCTATTCAATTTCCTGCACTATATGCAATATTTTAAAAACTTCCAAACAGTTTTATATATTGATGATATTGCACTTTCAAATTAATTTGAAAAGTTTTGAGTTCCTTTCTCAATGCAGAGCAATCATGAGAAAACAGAATATCATAATCAGTTTTGAAATTTTTAACAATTATACAGGTGGTTTTAAAATCATTATTCTAAGAGAAGTCAATAGCTATAGGATTATTTGTTGCAAAGTCCAGATTAAATTAACTCTCATTACCCAAATGTATTTTAATAATTGTTAGATTAAGCTTTTATAAGTATGTGTTTAAAACTTTCTCAGATCCCAATATAGGAATAAAATGAAGATGAAATAATTTGTAGCCAGGCTTTTGAAAGAAAAAAAAAGAAAAATCAGTAAAAATAATTAAAAAAATAACAAACTAATAAAAGTGGTAGAGAAATGATATCAAAAAGGGACAGAAGATTTTTAACAATGATATTCATTACAAAGTATAGATAGTGAAATCAAATGTAATATTAAATCATTCCATTTTATTGAGAAAAAACTTACAACTCTCATAAGCTGCATGTGTCCCATAGGGGGCAAACAATTTGTATGAAAATATTTACCTAATGAGCATACTATTCTTCTCTGTCACTTTTCATTTTGTATTTTTCTTCAATTCAATATGTTGCACCATACTTTTATTCATACGTTTTATTTTATGAATTTATAATAATTTGACTTCATTTGACTTACAGAAGTTAGGCATAGAAGACAAGACTTAGTACATTCTGATTGACTTTTATAATCAGATAATGAAGGTTTTCCTAGTCTAGGACTTAAAAAAAAAATAGTTTCCGATTTTGCTACCACATCATTGGTAATTGTCTTGGTTACAGTGTAATGTTTAGAGTTACAGAATTTTGATATAGACAATAAAACTGGTATTTGCTGTTAATATATCTCCAAGCATATGTCATTTGATAGTAAGAACAAGGACTGGTTGGTTCAGAGTCAGAATTATAATAAAGTAAACTGGGAAATTTTTGCTCCGTCTTTTATTCAAGATTTGTTGACTGAATTTAAATCATTACCGCTTTGAATTCTGAAAATAGTGGAAATAAAACTGCTACGAAAATTTCCCTGTTTACAGCAGCTGAGTATGTCTACCTATAATCTGATTATGAAGGTCTTCTGAGACTTATTAAGGACTAAAAATTTCATATATAGTCAAAATTGAAAAAACAAAAATATTGATTTCCTCAGACCTGGATCACACTTGAAAAGACAGTAATTTTATATTTTGATGTCTTTGTAAAAGGTTTGGGAACTTAGGCCTAATAATTAATTTGTAACAAAGGATGAAATAGTGTATACATCAACATTTTACTTTATCAGTATTTAATATGAAAGATAATGAAAAAATTTTATAATCCAACAGTATCAGAGAGGCCTTCAACAGCAAAAAGATCAGTTTGAAATTGTGATTTACTCTCTGTGTAGACCATTTATATAATGACAAAGAAGTGATATGGTGTAATTGTTCATGAAACAAAATCACATTACGCACATGAAAAAAAACAAAGCACGGAAACTGCTTTTATTGCTGTTCTGCATGTCAAAGCCACAGTGATTTTGATTAATCGATGAGTTTCAGTAGTTTATGTGAATGGATGACAATTATAAAGAGAATACTTGTATAACAGTAATATTGCATAAAACATGATCATTTTTTATGTTTGTTTTTTCTTTTCCTTTTTCAGGACAGTTTGTATCTGATGGAGTCAAACAGTCAGGGACCATGTGTTCATGGGATTTTTCCACATCTAAACTATCAGGGAAATTTTTCTCACCTCTTTACCCACAGAACTATCCTAGTCACTCAAAATGTCAGTATACATTTTATGGACAGCCACATGAAGGAACAGTTTATATACAGTTTCAAAATTTACAAATATATGATGAAGGAGTTGATAGGTTAGTTGTTCCCCTCAAAATACTGTAAATTCAAAAACAATTGCAGTTTTAATAAATGCAAAAATTGCAACAGTATCAGGTTTGCAATAGTAAAAACTCTCATTAATATTTTCATTTGTGTTTTCCTTCATAAAATTTTTGCAATCACAAAATAAGATTTTGCAGTTTTGCCAGTGGTCAAGGATTCATGATAATAAATGTGTTCATTAATTTCTAAATTTACAGTATAAAGATATATATCCCTTTTATAAATGTAATTCCAAAAATTCAGGCTAGATAAGGATATTTTAGTGGTCATCAACAACAGTATGAAAACAAGAATGTGTCCATAGTACATGGATGCCCCACCGCACTATCATTTTCTATGTTCAGTGGACGGTGAAATTGGGGTCAAAACTCTAATTTGGCATTCAAATTAGAAAGATCATATCATAGGGAACATGTGTACTAAGTTTTAAGTTGACTGGACTTCAACTTCATCAAAAACTATCTTGACCAAAAATTTTAACCTGAAGCGGGACAGACGTAGGGACGGACGGACGAACAGACAGACGGACGCACAGACCGAAAAACATAATGCCAGTAGGTGGGGCATAAAAAGGTCTGTCTCAACATAGTCAATGTCTACTCGACTAATAATAACTATTTATTTGTCATTTTGTCAACATTTGATTTAATGTTTACCTGAACTGTTAAAGACTACTATATGCGTTGCTTCAAACAAGTAAGTCTAATGACATAGATTTAGAAATAAGGAGATGTATGATTGCCAATGATGCAACTATTCCAAATGATTTAGATGTAAGCAGCTATAGGTCACCATACAGCCTTCAATAATGAGCAAAAACCATACTGTATAGTCAGCTTTAAAAGACCCCAACATGACAAAATGTGACATGCCAATTTAAACAAGAAAACTAAATGTCTGATTAATGGCAATGCAATAAGTGAATCACATATATGACAGACAGCAACCAACGACTAACACTGAATTACAGGTTCGATCCTGACTTAGGGTAGTCACATAAAGAATGTGGTGGGGTTAGACATGTTTATGAGTGCTTGTCCTGGGACAGTGGTGTAACAGCACAACATAAGAACAAATTGTAAAATTAGTTGGAAATGACTTGACTCATCAGATTATTAACACAAAGCTCAAAAACAACTAACATAAAAAAAAAGATATACGGTACAAAGTACTGATCTGAGAGAACTTACAGTTATAGAAAGCTAGTGTAAAGCCAATTACAACTAATAAATAAATCATGATATAAAGTATATCTAATGTTTACAGTGTTAGATAAATCATGATATAAAGTATATCTAATGTTTACAGTGTGTTAACAACAGTCACTGACAGTCCTCATATAGTTACAAATAGCGTTCATGAAATGGGGAAAAAAATGACTGGCTGTTAGAAAGATGGTCCTTATTTAGCTTCAAGTTACGTGTATATGTTCAACTTTTTTTTATCAAATTAGCAAAATGGTATGCCTCACCTAAAATTCATTTAAAAAGGGATGTGATTAGGGCCGTTCATCCAACAAATATTTCGGTCACATTTTTCTCAGGTTCACATATACTACTTTTCAGTTCTGTCCGACACCAACTTCCTGCTTGCTAATACTTTGAATTTTTCAATATGTTGAATCAACTTAAAATTGTTTGTCACAGTTTTCTTTAGTACAACTACACAGAATGACTTTATATTTGGTCTTCAGCTTGATAGTGACAAGTTGTAACGTTGTGGGCACTTTTCGGATCGGTTGGATACCAACTTCCTATTTGCTGTTACTTTGAATTTTTCAATATGTTAAATGAACTTTAAAGTTTTAGTCACACTTTTCTCAAGTACTAATAAATAGAATGCTTTTGAACCTGTTTGGATCTGTTGGACACCTACCTCCTGATTTCTGATACTTTGAATTACAAGTGGGGGTTACACATAGCACAACAACAAGTGCATTCTTGATGAATTGTGCTTTACATATTTGAGTTTCTGGCATATATACATTCATACCACATCTTCTTATATCTATTGAATGCAAAACTGCATTAACTACCAGAATACCTTCAATTTTAGATCCTCTCATTATTAGTTTATATATAAGTGAAGGCTTAACCTAAAAACAAATACTTTGCAAGGGGGGTTCAATTTTCCATGATGGGGTTCAAAATACCAGATGGGAAAAATGACCCCAGGGTCAAAATACCATGTGGTATAATGACCCCGGGTTCAGTTTTCAGGGGGTTCAAAATACCATATGACACCGGTCTCAGGTCATGAGCCTGTTATTCAGTGGTCATGGTTTTTTGCTGTATATCATATTTGTTTTTCCTTTATTGTTATTATATGAATCAGGCTGTTAGTTTTCTTGTTTGAATTGTTCTGCATTTGTCATGTCAGGACTTTTTATAGGGTGCTATGTTGTATTTGTTTTATTCATTGTTTGAGGCTGTACAGTGACTAATTATCATATGCAAACTTCTTCAACATATAATAAGAGTTGTCTCATTGGCAATCATACCACAACTTCTTAACTATGGGTCAATGTAAGGTTAAGTTCATTTATCAGTGAAATACGAAAGTTTAATTGTTAATTGTATTAAACTTCCATATTTTACTGGTGGAAAAAGCTTTCTCTTACCTCCTATACATTTCTAGGAATATCATTGGTTAAAGCAAACATGTGGAGACCCTGTATATTTAATACTGGGTTAGTGGGTGTGTTTTATTTTAATATACTGCTAGTAGCAGTGTTACGTCCCTTTATAAAAACAAGAAAAATCTGAAACGTTTCACCCAAAAAACAGATGAAGGACTGAAAATAAATTCAGAAAACACATTAAAACTAGCAAGTTTGTTTTTGTATAGACAAATGGAAGTAGGTTCTTAATATTGAAGACTTGATCACTTTGAAGGACCACTGGTCTAAATGCCACATATTAAGATAGTTTGTAAGATAAATTCATTACACAGTGTGCAGTGACCTAATACCATATATATTGGGTCAGTAAATTCCATATGGGGTTCGAGCAAATGACCGCATATATTTCGTATTAGGTAACTAGCACAATGTGTAACTAATAATATTTAGAATTCAAATTGTCAGATATTTGTAGATATTAATTGGGATTGATGCAGGTATTATCTGTTTTAGTGGTTATAATTTTCCCCTTTCCAGAGTTGTTGAGCATTGTTAGTGAAAAATGTCTTATTAGTAGTTTAAACTTAGCTCACTTTTAGGTTATTTGATTTCTTTCCAAAAATAAGATTTTCTGTAAAACAAACATTGTTAAAGATGTGATAATGTTCCTTTTGTTAATTTTTACTGAAAATCCTGTTTTAAATTTGCATATTTTGTATTTGTAGTTGTAGTAAAAGTTCAGATAGAATAGCAATTTATGATGGTATGAATAGTTCTCAGCCTTTAATCAAATATTTGTGTGGTATAAAGAACCAAGAGGAAGTTAAATCTACAACGCCATATCTTTATATAGAATTCTTGTCAGATGGCAGGAATCAGCGTCAAGGATTTGCAGCAAATTATACATTTCAACATAAATCACATTCCAATTTACCCTCATATAGCAATCCAGGTAAGAGTTGTCTATCTTTGTCTGATTTGCAAGCAGCAGTGCATATTTGAATGATTTTATGTTTTATCTTATAATTCATTATATTTTTTATGTATTAACTACAAAAATTGAAAAGAATATTGGCCTTTGCATGTAATAGAAAATTTGGATAATTGTCAGCTTGTAAATTGACTGTTAACCTATATATATAGTTGCATCCTTATCTGAAGAAAACGGTTAATTAACAGGCAGTAAACTTTTATTTTTCTCACTTTATTAAAATGAATTGAAATGGGTACTCTCTGAAACCAAGAATTTTGTATACCTGATATAAGAAAACTTGTTTATTTCATTTAACAAACATGATCTGATTGATACATATGTGTTCAATTTGGTGTCTGTAATTAATTTTGATGCACCTTTAAATCCAAGAACTAGATATATTTGTCATAGAAATCACAATTTCTTAAGGAGAATAAAATATAAACATGAAAGAAAGATTTAAAAAAAAACGAATTGAGAAATGTTTAATTTTTTTTCATGAAAATAGTATTGTATTTGTCAAGGTTTGAGATAGAGTTATCCCTCTTTGCCAGCTATCAGTTTTAACTTTTTTGAACTATTTTGCATGCAGATTACTCAACAACAACTAGTGAGTAAAATTGTGTGTTTGTTATCCCTTTCTATGAGTAAATATGTGTTTTAACCCTTTTCCCCTTGTATAGTGTCTCCTCTGATAGTTTTTTATGTAAAAAAAAAAGAAAAAGGCTTGACTTTTGAAATTCAGCTCTGATTTGATGTCAGCTTCATAATTAAAGATTTCCAGTATACTATTTAACTTCAAATCACTTACTCAAATATAATATTAGCTACATATTCATCACAAACAATACATGATGAAAGGATATTTAACATAAATGAAATTAGTAGTGGCAATAAGGTCCATTTTTGGCCCAATTTTAGTGCAAATTTAAAAGTTCCCATGCATGATCTTAATTTTGCCATGACAGGACTAGAATAAAAGTTGTTAAGAAAATAAAATCTTATCTCACATATGACTAGGAACCAAGGCAACAAACCATGACAAAACTTGTATATTAGGAACAATGTCCTGGTTTTCCTTGAGTTTTTTTTTATCTACTTTTGAGCATATTTTAGATTTAGAATAATATGGGGACACCAAAATAACAACTTCATATTTGGCAGCATTTTTTTTTTTTTTTTTTTTAATGAAATATGCCCATATCTTGATACAATTACGACATCATAATATTGTAAATTTTGACCAATTTTGATTGTTTATATTTCTTGATTTTATGCATTTCCATATACTGTAAACCAACTAATTTTCAAGAGCGATTAATTTTCGCAACTTTCGCGAGTAGAAAAATAGCGCGAATATAAATCATCGCGAATATGTTAAACTTAGATCTTCTCTTATATCAATACATCAATGAAATTAGAACATCGCGAAAAGAAATCGCTGCAAAGTCAAATAGAAACGACTAAACGCGAAATAAAATATCTGCGAAAATAAGTTGGTTTACAGTATAATGTTTACATTGAAGTAGTTCTTAAAAACTTCATTTTCTTGGGTCAAAAATGGAACTTAAAGCCCCATCTCTTTTGAAGTAATGGAATTAAAATTTATGTACCTTTTTGAAATAAGAAGTAGCAGTTCTTAGGCACTTAAAATTCTCCTAAAGAGTTGTGTAGTTTACCAACTTTGAATATTTTCTCACTGTTGTCTAGTTGTTTCTTTGATGTTGTCATACTGCTGTGTTGTAGTCTTTACCAATGCAACAGTTTTTACCTCATATGAGTCCTAAACTATCATGTGAGCAATTCTTATCACATGACCTCTGTTGTACAATTGTGTTATACATTGTAACAACACTTTTGCTTTGAAATTGCTTGGACAGCAGGGAACAAACTTATGATGTGCATTTATATAGAGGAATAATTCACATTGAACATACTTTAAGTTTATATTGTCAAAGGAACTAAAAAAGCTGACATTCATCTAAACATTATCATTATGATTGCAAATTTTTGTCAGTGATAGTGTAGTATGTTGTGTTCTGGCTTGTCATTGGCATTTTTTGTTGGTAGACACGCATTATTATGCCCCCACCGCAAGGCCAAGGGGGCATTAAGTGTTACCCTTGACTGTCCTGTCTTCCATCTTTCCTTCTTTCTGTCTTTTCATCCTTCCGTCTTTCTATCCATCCCATTTTTGTTTGAGCGGGGGCTTTCGTGTCCTCAGACACATTCTTCTTTTATATTTTTTTGCCTTAATGAAATTGCAGAGCTCAGACTTATGCCTGCTGTTTCCAGGGCTTATGATAGTGGCTTCAACAATATGTAAAACATTTGTGGTTGTGTTAGTTTCAGGGAAACCTATTGGTTAGTCAATGTCAGATTTAGTCGGCAGTTGTATTGGCCTTAGCACATCTCATTTCCATGGAAATTATTTGGCCCCACCTCTCTCAGTCACTGTTTATAACATTGAAACTTTTGCATAGTTTAAATGTTCAAGTTTGTGATTAAGTCAGTTTTAGGTGAACTGCTTATGGTAAGTCAGTGAATTTTGGTATACAGTTGCATTCGCACTAGCCCATCTCATTTTCATGGAGTATTTATATGGCCAGCCTCCCTGAGTCATGGTTCATTGACTTCGAAACTTTTGCATAGTTTACATGTTAAAAGTTTGTGATTACATCAGTTTAAGTGAGGAACTGCTAATGATAAGTCAATGATCTTTTGTATGCAGTTATATTATCATTTGCACATGTCATTTCAAGGGAGATTATTTGGCCCTACACCTACAGTCATGGTTCTTTGACTTTGATTATTTTCATAGTTTATATGTTAATGTTTTGCCATTTCAAATTTTGCATTATACTATCAAAATTACATAGGTGAGATATATTTCTGTGTCAACAATTTATTTACAATAGCTTACTTTTTTTACGACTAGTTTGAGAAAATGTTCCCTGGCACAAACAGAAGGCTTGTATATATGTAACAGTTTGATTTCCTACCTGTTTGTAGCTTATAGCATTATTTTACTTCAAGGATGAGAGATTACAATGCAATTCAAATTGTAGAAGGGTGAAGATTTGTATCTTTACATTGACGTTTAAAAAGCATAATAAATAATATTTTTTTGCTTTTGCTTGCAGTTTTCTGTACTTTCCTTTATATTTTGATGTAGTTTTATTACTTTGTCCACCATAGATAGGATCTTAAGGGCTATAACCTCATATCTATCAATGTCTAATAATGAAGGAAAACATAAATCGCAACTTTTAATCAAAGCTAATAAAATAAGACGATTGATTTTGGTGTGATGTGAAAGTCATATAAACAATGATTAGTTCTTAGAGATAATTTGATTATTCCCCCTTGTAACTATTGATTGGGTCAGCGTAAACGTGTATTTAGCCGACAGCTACTATAGATCATGTTATGTTTTTTGGGATTGCTTGAAAATTGTGTATTGATCAGAGAAGTTTTACAGCTTGCAATCTCCATATTTCAAGACAAGTTAAGAAATTTCAATATTGATTTCCAGTTTAGTAATCACTGTTCCTTACAAAATTCAATCAAAGTCCATGTGCAAGAATTCATACATTGTGGTACAATTTGTATTCATTATGTCTGTTACATTCTCTAAGCAGAATTTTTATTGCTGAATTAAATTAAGTGAGCAAATGTCATATTCAATGTTGACATTCTTCTATTCTCTGAATTTACAGTTTTCTTATTTTGCTCTTGATTTTTGACAAAATTACATCCAAAAGTCATTGATAAAATAGTTCATTTCTAACCAAATAATTCTGTATCAAATTAAGGGAAGTCTATGCTCATCCTTGAATAATGTTAATCCAAAAAAAAATTTCTCTCCAAAATATATGTGAATGCCTTTTAAGCTAACCATACCAATCACTATTAACTTTGTCCATAACTTTGCAAATAGAATCTGTTCTACATGTACACCTTCGGTCTTTAGTAGCAATTGTTTACTGTACATTTGAACCAAACATGGGAAGAATATTGTATGAAATATCCTCAGACAATAATACTTGTTTTAAAACAAATGCATGCATGACAGCCAGAGACAATTCGGGTTTGATTGAACATTTTTTATCATGGTTTTTCTAACAGAAATGAGGTTATTAATTTGGGTAGTACCGAGGATGTTCAAACAGGATGCAATAACATGAAAACCATGAAACCAATACTTTTCAAATTTTAATTTGTTGTTAATGCTGACAAAATATGGGTCTAGTACTCTAGTTCGATATTGATGATTGAGGAGTTATGGTCCTTGATTGATTGGGAAATGGCACTTTATGTTGTTTCTCTTCAAAGACTTGTGAACCATTCAACCAATGGTTTTCAAATTTCAATTTGAATTTTCTGATGACAAAATAGAAGTCAAGTTAGATATTTACAATTCTTGTCTTACCTACGACAAAAGTTGAAAAATACAAGACATTTGGATTACAATCCAGCGGTGGCGATCGATGGCATAAAATCATAAAGCTTTTTATTTCAGAAGGTAGAGGACCTGATGCTTCATGCCTCATTTTAATGCTTCAGTGACTGCAAGAAAAAAATGTTAAGTTCTTTTGTGATGTTAATTACTCACTTATCGTCAGTAATAAGATAACTATATTTGGGAGGTCTACATGTCCATCAGGCAGGTTTCATGTGACCTCGACCTCATTCATAGATCAGTGATGAAGGTTAAGTTTTGTGGTCAAAACCAGGTTCTCTCTTATTTTGACACTCTTTTGTTCAATTCCTTCTCCTGCTATCTTTCTTCTATCGTGAGTGAACAGTTACATTAAAATTACTGTTTACGGCACAGTTCAATTTGATGTCTTCATCACAGTCTGTGTTTAAGTTATGTTGATTTCATTCAAAAACAAATTCATCAGTTGGGAAGTAAAAAACATAAAAGTTTAAGTATAAATGTTAAATTGCAGATATACAAACATTGTATATATAAACAGGTTTATCTTTGGCATATCATAATAGAAAGGTTTTCTAACAGATATTTTACACTTTAACCTCAATTAAGTTTTGTTGCTGAGTTTAGATTTCAGATACTAAGTGACCTATTTCATATGAGTTGTGTTACAGGATGAAAGTTAAGGAGGATTGCAACCTCCCATGAAAGCTAGGTCATTTTGACCTATATTTTATACCTCTATTAAGTGTTACATCCAAGTTCAGTTAGACAATTGTAAGTGTCGACTCACAATCATGTGACTCATTGTAAAAATGTGTTATATAGAGTCAGGCAACCTCCAACAAGTTGGTCACTCTGACCTATATTACAGACTTTGATTCCAATTGGGTATCCTAGTTCATTTAATCAACTAACATCAGCATTTTACACAATGATGTCAGATGACAATTTTGACAATTAAGCAAAGCAGTCTTAGCACTCAGAAACAGTAAAGAAAGACAGACAAATACCATGGCCAGGATATAAAACAGGAATAACCATATACTAAAAATACAGAAAAACTAAAAACCAAACACTCAGTAACTTCACCAAATGTAAATAAGCATCCTCCACATAATACTACAGAAAATGTTGTTTGAACTGCCACTGGATATCATTGAAATGTAAGC